GCTGAACCACCATGGACCTTGAGAAGAAATCCCAAGATCTTTAACAGGGATTCCTTTTCTATAAGAGAAGGGTGGGAAGAGTAAAATCAAGTGTATTTTGATCAAAGGGTGTGCACAGCTCCATGTCCAAGAGTATTCTTTGCAGTTCATAACTTCCTACAGGATCATGGCTTCAAAGCATAAACATATTTCCTTGCCATAGCATAGACTAGAAGGGATGCAGGTGAACTATAACAGAGGATGAGTCACTACCCAGCAGGACAGCACCAATCCCCTCCAGAGGAAGGTGTCAGGGGATGTTTTGGTTAGATGTTTCTAAGTGAGTGCAAACGTAGCATCACTCAGGAAACTGGAAGCACATCAGCTCTGCACTGAATTATCTGAGTGTGGGAGAGTGCTTGCCGTGAGAGGGAAGGAAACTGAGTAACAGTTCCTGCTTGCTGTAATTCAGGCAAAACAAGAACTTTATGGGCCCCATATTACAAATTAGATGAAGAAAAAAGTATATTTTATATTCTGTATTCATCAAGTGATTTATTAAATCTGATTTCTGTTAGAAGTGACTCATGCCCCATGTTGGGCGCCAATGTGACTGTGATGGTTTCCCTGGGCTGGCCCTTGGCCAGCAACCAACACAGCTGTTCACCCACTTGCCCCCCACCCCCAGGGGACAGGGCAGAGGGTTGGGGGACAAGGATAAGGAGACTCGTAGGCTGAGATAAGAACAGTTTAATAATAGAAATAAAAGAAAACTTAAAATAGTACTAATATTAAAATAGTAGTGATAATGATAACAATAACAAACTATACAAAGGTGTGATACACAGTGCAGCTACTCACCACCCGCCAACCAAGCCCTACCTGTTCCTGGATAACTATCCCAGAGGAGTGATAATCCTGAAACCAAAATCGCAATCCCGGGAAAGTGAGACCTCAAGCGAAAGTCAGAGAGAGCAAAAGAGGAAGAGACCCTCACTAATGTACTGGGCATGATGTGATATGATATGGAATATCCCACTGGCATATCCAAATGCCAGATTAGTTTATTAATTTAAATATTCCTCTCCCCTTAGATCTTGTGCTTGTAGACTAACAGAACACAAAGTCCTTCACTTCCAGTGACAAAAATGCAAACACTGGTATGTTATCAGTGTTTCTCTCATAACAAATCCCAGGCTGAAAGCAAAACACAGCACTATTCTAACTACTGAAAAAGAAACCCAGCTCTTTTTCAACTAAAAACCAGGACAATGACAAATCTTATTTTGTTTTTTTTATCCATAGGTCTTCAGTAAATGTTCATGAAAACCCTTGACTGTGACCCACCTTTGCTGCTGCCTGTTTTGTGTGGATGTCTGTCTCCTTGTCCTTGTTGCTGCTATTGTCAAGATGCCTGCTTCTGCTCCTCAACATTGCTGGTGTCAGCAATGTTACCTCCAGAAGTGGTTGTGCTCTGCTTTAGTTTTCTTTGTTGACTTCTCACACAGCTGAGCAATATTTATGCTCAAACCATGCCAGCTTGCCTCTGATAATAAAAATGCTGTAGGGTTTGCTTGTGACTCTAATCTTGTAAATGTCTAATAAAAATGTGTACTCTCCTTTTTTTGTGTTTTGTTTGTTTGTTTTATTTTTAATAGGAAAAAACGTTATGGGTTTGTTTGTTTTTTGTTTTTTTTTTTTAATATGCAATTGCTCCTTAGTGTTTCCCACAGCACAACTTGTTTCTGCTACTTACTATCCTGTTAATGTTCTTTTTACACAAGTTCCTGCTCTGCATTCCATTTTTTTTTCCAGGGCATTCAGTATGGATTAAATTATCATTATTTGTAGCACAGATCTGTGATAGGAAGTAAGAGATTAATAGGTAATGTGCCACTTACTACTCAAATTAGTCAATTTTAGGGGCATTTAATGAACTAGGTAGTGTTTAGCAGCACAGGTGACAGATGAAGGGAGGAAGCAAAGATACTATAAGCAATTGCATTAGAGTTCCTCTGCATTAGTACCAGTTCAGTCTTACAGCAATAGTCTCTGTCTTCAAAAATCTGCTGAATGAATGATTTGGCTTGCCACATGGAAATTTTCTGCGGGAACAGGGATTAAATCTATTTTTCCGAGTTCTAATTGGATACTTTAAGTCCTAGTTCACAACAGGAATGTCATTACAATTATCCTAGTAATTTGCTTTGATAACAATTGTAATGCACACAAGAATAAAAAATTGCCAGATAGGAGTGATGAGAAGAGGAAGAGTTTCTTTCACAGTCACGAGTGGTGAGAGCTGTTTGGTTTTGACTCCATGGAAAACAAAAATACTCCATTAACACTCCCAGGAATGGGTGGCATTGGCAAAACTGCTTGTTTCTAGTTTCTACTACCTACTATCCTGTTAATGTTAAATACGGGCTTCTCTTTTATTTTTTTTTTTTTTTTTTTTTTTTTTTTTCTTGTTAATGTCACAGAGAAAAAAGGTGTGACATAAAAACATACAATGATAGAATTATATGGGTTGGAAGGGACCTTCAACATCATCTAGTTCCAACCCCCCTGCCATCAGCAGGGACACCTTCCACTAGACCAGGTTGTTCAAAGCCTCATCCAACCTGGCCTTAAGCACTTCCAGGGAGGGGGCATCCACAACTTCCTTGGGCAACCTGTTCCAGTGTCTGACCACCCTCACAGGAAAGAATTTCTTCCTAATGTCTAATCTAAACCTACCCTCTTCCAGTTTTAAGCCATTACCCCTTGTTCTGTCATTAACTGCCCTTATGAAAAGGCCTTCCCCAGTTTCCTGTAGCCCCTTCGCGTATCGGAAGGTCACTATAAGGTCTCCCTGGAGCCTTCTCTTCTGCAGGCTGAGCAGCCCCAACTCTCTCAGCCTGTCCTTGTAGGAGAGGTGCTGCAACCCTTGGATCATCCTCGTGGCCTCCTCTGGACTCGCTCCAGTAGGTCCATGTCCTTCTCATGTTGAGTGCTCCAGAACTGGGTACAGTACTGTAGGTGGGGTCTCACCAGAGCAGAGTAGAGGGGAAGAATCACCTTCCTCCACCTGCTGGCCACACTTCTCTTGATGCAACCCAGGGTACAGTTGACCACCTTTTTCCAGTTTAAGATTTATGCTGTGCACACATGTGTTTTTTCACTGTGTGTGAAGAAAAGTGCTTTATTGTGAAAAAAGTGTCTGTCTCAACTGTCTGTCCCAAGTGTCTGTCCCAAGTGTCATTTCATTTGTCTTTTTAAATACGAAATAAATGCTGCTAAGCTGATCAGCTCTTTAGAAATGGGCTACATGACCTAAGCACCCCCGTTATCAGGAGTAATGCAATGCAGTCAACTCCTTTTGGTGTGATTTGGTGGTACCCAGACTATGTACACTATGTCTTTTGGACACAGAGAAATCAGGAAAATTCTTTCTTTGTTTTAACAGAAGAATTTAATGAGGATTTGACTATGAATTTTGACAGTCTCTGCAGCTATGTGCTTGCATCCATTAAGAGGTGCTAATGTCCCTGCACCTTTCAGTTGCTGCTACATTCAAAGGCTACTTCTCCTCCTGCTGAGAAACATCTTTCTCAGTCTCATCCTCATCCACCCTCTGCCTAGACAGTCACTATGGAACCCATCCTTCCACACTGTTTCCCATTCTTTCTCTCTCCTCTTTGCCTGAAGCTGTTTGGTGTCTTCTGACTGCTTCACCAGCCCTTGTTCATGAACACATTCTTCATGTCCTGTAATACCTCTTTACAGAAAATATAGGCTGTCTCATTTCTTCCAGATCTTTCAGTCCTACACCTCCCTTTCTGATTCCAGAGATGGTGATCATCCCACATTTTACATTCCATCTCAGCTCAAGACATGTCCTCTCGTGTGCTCTGAGATCATGTTCATAACTTGTTGTGTGGTATGCCTCTGGTCACTGTTAGGCTAAGGAATTTGCTAAGGTTTATTCCTCCCTTTAAATGGCAAAGAAAGAAACAGGACGAGTGTGAAAATCATGTTGAATTTGTCTCACATCCTACCAGAG